TCAGCGCCTGCTGAAGCCAACTTGAAAAGCAGCAGAAAAAGGTTCATCAAACCTACAGTAGCAAATTTGTCACAGTAGATCTTTACTTGAAAAAGATACCATTTTTACCAAAGCTGTAAAAAATGGCACAAGCTAGTTCTTTCACTGGAAAAAAGCTCTAGAATTTTTCACGTTCACTTCAGTAAAGGCTTTTTTTCCTTTGTATTTCTTTTTTGCTTTTCTTTCAGTCATTCTGTCCTTTCACTCTTTCTCTTTTTCCCTTTCTTTCATTTTCTTTCCTCTTTTTTTCTACATTCTTATTTTTGTTTCTGAGTATGTTTTGTTCTTATGCATGTTTTGTGCAACACCTTTAAGTTTCAATTGAGTTGTGCATTTGGAAAACATGAGTCCAGATAAATTGACACTCTGAAGCACTTCACAAAAAGTTTGCTTCACTTCCTTCCCATTACTAAAATATAGATGGATCACATATCGGTAACAACTATACCCTCCATAATTGACTCTTTAGCTCCAAAGGAAGTTCAGAATTCCAATATCTGAATTTGATCTCTAGAGGAAATAACAAGTGAAGTACCTGTCTCATATTATTAGCACATGAGCATTAAAGTCTTCATTTAGAGTCCATTGAACTCTATGGAAAAACTCACATTAACATTAATGTACTTTGGACCAGGTCAAAAGTGGATTTCAGCACTTTATAATGGAGGATATGCAGAAATCTATAGAAAATACCTAACATTCCCTCATATAAGAGTCCTGCTGTACATTAATGCAGCAAATGGTATAAAAATAAACTAATTTTCAATTATAAACTTCACTATAGCCAACTTCCAGATTTTGAAAATAAACTTTGACATACCAAATAAAGAAGTTTCTTATTTTATATTCTCTAAGTAAATCAGATGCAGATTATCAGCAATCATTAATAAAAAGACTAAAATAAAAAGACTAAAAGACTAAAGCTTTTTTGTCCACCTTTTCATTTTTTAAATTACTACCATTTTCTCTGTATGCGAAGCCTGACAGGCCATATGCCAGTCAGTAGTAGATACATATTCTCCTGTGGGAGTGCCAGGGTTACTGACTTTCTTCTACACTCAAAAGAGTGCATGCAAAGGTAGCTGGTGTCCTTTCAGCCTACTTTCCTTGAATGCCATGTTTCCGCCATGTGCAGACACAGCATTGCATGCTGATCCTCTGAGGAATTTATAAATGTGTCTTGCATTTATTCTTAAAAGGGAAATAATCATCATTGATTTATATCACCTAATGTACAGACACTGACCTAAACTCATCCCTGGTGGAGGCATTTCAGGGTATGGTTGGATGAGCTAGTCTGAGGGTAGGTGATCTGAAAGAAGAGGTACATCCCAGCTTGTCCTTAACTACTCATTACCTGGAAGCTGGTGCCAATCATTTCTCTTGGGTTTAATGCTTTCAAGGAGACAGACTGCCCTCGACTGTGGTTTTGTGAACTCACCTGAATTACAAAAAGCAGCAGCAACAAAATTTTGTAAGGAAAAATGTAAAACAAAAAAGAATAATTTATAAATTGAAGTAGAAAATGGTCAAAAAAAGTGTCAGGCCAGCAGATGAGAGAGTTTAGCCATCTGTAAGCAGAGGACAGAAGTGAACACATATATCAGGAGCCAGGCAGTTATCATCCTGCTCACATTTGTCACAGCCAGAAGTGTTTCTGACAATGACTGTAGAAGTATTAACTTCAGTTTCTCAAGTATACAAAAATGAAATAGGTGCACCCGGAAGGTGGTTTGCCTGGATCTCTCCTGTTCCAGTAAGTTAAAGTAGGTCAAATCCAGGCTGTGCATTGCAATTTTTCCTTCAAATACATCATTATCACTTTTCTTGACAATTTTTGTACATGATATTATTTTGTTTTAGGCTTTCAAAGCTGTGGCTTATTCTGTGAATGTTCAAGGACATAAAAATAGCCGAAGAATTGCTTATATCTTTTAAATATCACTCCAGTCCTGTAATTTCTTCTTAACAAATAAAACTATCTTGGCTCTTATTTCAGAAGAAGGGTGATAATATTCTGTGGTACTGGGCTGAATCCAAAGTCTATTATTTTTTATATTTAGATTGTGACTGCAGTTGCACCTACTGCACTCTCTGGCACCAGTACAGTAGTGTCTTCTGCAATAGAAACTTTATTGCCTTAAAAACCAAAAAATAAACAAAATGGCATCTTAACTTGCCCCAGAAAGCTGCCAGTACTGTACTAATGCTGTGCCCTTTTGAAGACACTTTCCATGATCACCTCTGATACATGTCCTGCGTATAATAATTCCCAACATCACAGCAGCCAGTAAATAAATACCTTCCCCTTTACACTCATTTCACTTTACAAGCCAAATTCTTTGGCTCTGATGAGTTGACTAAAGGAAAGGATGTGCTGTGCTTTGAGGCTCTTAACTAACCTGGAATCATTTTACTCCGGTCCCAAGTGATTGGCTTTAACAGGCATGTAGAGTAAAAAAACCCTAAATATACCTCACTTGCTTCACACATACATACATACAGACAGTGACATTAACTATCAGTTCAAATGTAGTAAAATTTTAATGTAAAATTCAAAGTGATAGTAAAGGTTAAACACTGTGATGTTTCCTGGATGTGTAAGACAGATTCAGCAAAACAGCATTTTTGTGGCTCTATTACTCATGTTGTACAATATGTCCTGCTGTGCCTGTTCCTTGCTGTTTCTTTTAAAACTCTGAAACACATTCTGCTAAACGCAGCAGAGGATACACCAACATTGCAAGCTTTCTTGCTTTCTTTCCAAGTGAGAAGTTGCAGACATTGTTTATTTTTCTGTGGAACCTCTATGTGAAGAGCTGCACAGACACACACGCACGAGATTTTTTAGCAACATTAAACAGATCAAACCTCACAATCTTCTATTAATACTGTTTTCAGTGACAATATTTTAAGTTGAATTGAAATCAGCCTTTGATCTGGTCTAATATATTTGACAGATGCTATACACATCTTTCCTTTTTTTTTCTTTTTCTTTTGGCTCTTGAAAAAAAGTCTTTGTGTTTTGGAGTGCTGGTTGTTTACAACTGTGCAAATAATTTAGGTTTACTTCCCCCCCATATATTTCTATACAGAGAAGGGGAGAAAGGAAAATGAGTTTCAGCTGGAGTAAAATCTTGGGGTTTAATGTGACTTAAATACAGATACATTTTTAATCTTTCATGCTGCGAATTTCTTTTCCATTCTCATCTGAAATTATTTGCTGATTTTGACTCAAAATAATAAATGCCTTGCCCTCTGGCTTTGAGGGTATTTATTCATCTGAAAAATTTGACCTGGGTCGATGGCTAAATGGACTAGAATTGAGGATAGACTCAACTAGAATCACTTAAATACATTTGTGAAATAGACAGGGAAGTTCTACATTCTGATGCTAAGAAATGCTCTTTCACATACTTCAGCAAATAAATAAATAAAAAAGAGCTTTTAAAGTGCTCCACCTGAAACTTACCACAAAGTTTACAGAAACAAACAGGCAGAAAGCAATGCAAACTTTTCAGTGCAAGTTAATTTCTGAAATAACTATCCTCCTCTGAAGGGCAATTACAAGCACTGTAAGTGCAAGGGGCAGCAGTCTGCGTCCCTGCCACCGCATGGGGCTCTCTATTACACGAAACATAGGGGTTTCTGCACAGTTCCTCGGTGGGAACCCTTTTCCACCTATTTCTCTACCTGTGAAATGGCATTAATGCATTTTTCAAGAATATGTGATTTTTTTAATGCTTTTCAAAGGGCTCTGAGATCTTCCTTGGGAGCTATCTCCTGCAGATAGCCCCACTGCCTTCTTGCAGTTAGCCCTTTTCCTCCTTTGCTATTGTTACCATATCCCCAGCGTGCACATCCTATCAAAAACTGGATTGCCTGCTCTTCAGAGAAGGCTTGTTAAGCTTTTTACCATACAGACAGAAAGGAGAAAAAAAAAAAAGGAAAAACCAGCCAAGCGCTGTGCTACAGCTATAAAGACCATTGTTACCTTCAATGACCCCATCTTTATTTTCTTGTTTTGTCTTTCTTCTGCGAAGGTAAAAGTTTGGTTCCAGAACAGACGAATGAAGTGGAAGCGGGTAAAAGGGGGCCAGCAAGGGGCAGCAGCCCGGGAGAAGGAACTGGTGAATGTGAAAAAGGGCACGCTGCTCCCCTCAGAGCTCTCGGGCATCGGCGCAGCTGGTCTCCAGCACACGGGGGACTCACTAGCGAACGACGACAGCCACGACAGCGATCACAGCTCTGAGCACGCACACTTATGATACACAGAGAGTGTCCCAGCTCCGTTCTCAGGAAAGATGCTTTGCTGGCAAGCCTTACACAGGCATCGTTTACGTATGCAAGTGACTCTGGCAGTGATTTTTAAAGTTTGGAAAATTCAGGCTGATTGTGTCTGCTTTTCTTGATTTTTAGAAGGTTTACAGTAAGTGCCGTGTCTTAAAGGTGCCTCAAGAGAGGAGAAGTGGAAGACAAACTTACTTTGAACATTCCAGATTTGTTTGTCATGTTTATGACAGCGGGCAGGTATTTTTGCTTTAGCTTGCACTGAAAATTACATTGCTCTCAACAGACGTTATATTCTGAAAACCACAGTGCCACGAAATCACTATCTAGTGGATAAGAAATGTATTGTAACTCTGTATATATTTACCTTACAGCATTTTCCTGTCTTCACTAATTTTAGCAATGCATTCATATTAGCTGATGGCAATAGTCACTCATGACAATAAATGGCTTTTTGTCTATTTTTGTTTTGTTTTTCCAAAGACATACAATACATGCAGATACTTTTGTTCAAGTAGAGAACAATACAATAGTGTCTGCTAGGACACGTACTTGTATGACAGACAAAACAAACCTTATGTTGCATTTACTATCAACTGCTGCTGATAGGGTATTATTAAACTTACCTAGCTCCTCAATTCTTCTATCTTATAACTGCAAAAAAAAATGATTTTTAGGATCATAAGGATAGTCCAGTAATCTGCCAAAAATGTCATGTTCCACTCATGCTCAGTGGAAACTTCCTGAAGGATTATTCATTTCTATTTTGTCATTATTGAGTACATTAATAAATACTGACACTCTGCAGAAATGTTGTTGCTTCATCTTCAGTTTAGAAAAACAGCAGTTAAGCTGAAAGTTATTATCAACTTCTTATGTTGGTAGAAATCAAAATATGAAGGTAACTCAGTATTGTGTCCCATGTGTAAAATCAAGACGCGTTTTCTGTTATAAGCTTTTGTGTACATACAGGCAAATACCAAAACCCCAAAATTAATGCAAACCATTGATTGTACTTTGTAAAGAAATATGTTTAATAAATAATCCTTTTTAAATAATTCTGGCCTCTCTACATTGATTTCATAGAATACTTTAAGTGTTTTTTTGTAGAAGTCCTAAGCAGCTCTGCCTTTTTCGGGTCCTTCGGAACTTAGTGGACAACACAGAGCTATGTTTTCAAATTTAGACTTTTAATCTTGGATAAACCTTTTACATTGATCCATGTGGGAAACTCTTTCCTTTAGCAGGAAGAAGACATCTAGCAGTTAATTATGTCTTCAGCCAAAACCAACAAGAATCTGTTCAACCATTTTTCCAGATTTAGAGCAAATACAAAGGATTATTTTATATCTTGTGGAAATGGACAAAAGGAAATAAATATCAGGAAGGGATGCAGACTTATAATATCATCTCTTTGTTCAATAAAGCTGTTCAGGAGAAAAAAACACAATGTCCAAAAAAATTCGAAGGTGAATCTGACTGGGTAGTGTGATAGAAGGAGATAAGTGAAAGAAAAAGCGAGCAAGAAATGTGAGTATCCGAGCAATTACTTGTGAGCATTCACTGCAGCTCTGCTGTTTGGAGCAGTAGGGCATCATAAAACCTAAATGTGATCAAGAACTCTGTGTCTGTTTTCCAAATCCTTTTCACTGTAGATTCGATCTTTCTTGCACATTAATTGCTGTCATGATAATTTTAGTTTAAAATATCTAAGCAATGGGTAATTAATTTCTTTAAAGACTTCAGAGCATTTTATTGATTCCAGCAGTTCAGGGGTTTTGCATTTCTTTCTCAGTTCTTTTTCAAATGCCTTTGCCATATAAAATTGCTGCAAATAAGGGTAGGATAGAGAAGCAAGCCAACTTATTGTGAATACTTGATAGTTTTTATTTCATCGTTGGATGGGAAAGGGTTTTTGGGTGGTGATTTTCAAAACAGGAAAAAACCTCCAGCTTTTTATTCTTGTCTGTGTTTTTTGGGGGGGGAGGTGTTTCTTTTTTGGGTTTTTTTTTTTTTTGCTTGGTTTTTTTTGGGTTTTGGTTTGGTTTGGTTTGTTTGCTTGTTTGTTTGTTTTTCCCTCTTAAATGAAATACAGCTAAATTTCAAAATGAAAAATTAAAATGAAAATTTGAAAAAATAATCTTGAATTTTCAAATAATGCTTTTTAACAATAGGGATTTATCCAAATGTAACATGACTTGTTTTGCTAGTAGAGAGGGGAGAGATTATTGTCTTTCCAACACACTGATTGCCAAAAATGCCTTTTTAGATTTGCAGAACTGCTTGTTACTGTTTTTCATAAAAAGTTTAAGATTGAATTTGAAAAAGGATCAGCCAAGTTTGAGCTGACATTTTACAAAACAAAGGGAAGTACTTTATTTATATTACCTGAAATGCACCAGCAACGTGTTCCTAGCCCAAGGCATTTTGAGAGGTGCATTACTCTGTTAGAGGCACCGTGATTGGACTGGGTTACTTGAAGAGGAGGAGCAGCCAATGTGTGTGATGATGGCAGTGTGTGAGCCATAATAATCTCATTACCAGGAAGAATTCTTTCCTATTGAGAAAGATAGCCTTTTTCCATTTCGCTAGTTTTAACTGAATCTGTTGAGACTTAAAGCACAGGTTGAAGACAGAGAAATGTGCAAAGGGATTTACAGTGTTAGGAGATTTTTTGTTCAGATAATTGAACAAACCTTCAAACAAAGGACCAAGTTACTTTATATTACAGAAAAAAAAAAAAGACGACTAACAAAATCGATCATTTCCCATATTTTAAAAGCAGCTCAGACTTTGAATGTGGCTGTAAGGTGCTAACTGTATGTAGTAACCTCTGACATTACTTAAAGTCCTCTGGTGGCTTTAAACTGTTTTGTGGGTACATCATTGGTGAGTGCAATATTATACAGAGATCCCAGAGTGGCAGAAGCTGAAGTTATGATGTCTCAGCACAGTAAGCTTCCTACCATGGCCTTGCAGGAATTTGCCTACAAGCACAGCCCCAAAGAAACAGAGACATGCTTCTTCCATATTTCAGCTAGCTCATATAAGCCACACATAGCAGCAATGAACATCCTGCGCTCTAACTCCACTTTGTGGGCTAGCTCCACTTTGTTACTCTGCTCAGCAGGATTCCTCAGTGCAAGGAGATACCTCATCTTGTTCTAAATACCCCAATTACTCAAACACTGTCTTATGGAAGACCCTGGGATCAGTCATCTGCTTAATTTACTGTGAATTTGCATGAAAATTTTAGTATAATTTTGTAGCTGAAAACAGCTATGGATAAAGGCTTTGGAACTATAACTTGAAATTTTATTTTATCCTAATTGTGATTTGCCCAGAGTTGTGCAGGCACTTGGTTACAGAATGGAATGTGATGAAATCTAGTTTAGTTTATTTGTCTTTGTTAGTTCCTGTTATTAAATAGTAGCTAATCACTTTTCATGACTTATTGTCAGTGGATCCTGCTTCCAAAGACTAATAATGTACTTTTTGAGTTACAGTAATTTTGATATTGCATCTGTCCAGAGTCTACCTCTCTTTGATGTTCTGTTGTTAGCATATGTTGTTAGCATATCGTTAGCTGAGCCACAGAAAAGTGTACTCTTAAGAAACACACAGAGAAAATGTGATTGACTGTTAAAAGGCAACGATGTTTAACCATTTAATTTTCAACATGATGGATGATAATTCTTTTTTCTGCTATCTCTGGGATATGAGGCTAGTATCGTATACTATCTGTAGGGTTTCTTTGTCTTGCCTTATAATTGTTGTTTTTATTTTGTGTTTTTGTTTACTGTCTTCATTGTTCTCAGATTTTGACAAAAGCAGTTCAAGAGGTGTGGTTAAAATAACACCACTGCAAACTGACTGAATTTATTAAATCATAAATTGGAAGTAGTTTTGGAGTTTAGTTAAGTGCTTGTCTTTTCTTGACTTCCTTTTCATTGGACCCCAAAATAGTCAAAAAAGAAGCACAAGAAGGAGAAACTCTATGCCTATGTCTTTCCACTAGAGTCCAAGTTTCAAGGTAGTTTATGTAGGCTGCTTTCTTAAATGAAGGCTCTGACTGCTGCAATAATATTATTTGTACAAATAAAGAAAGAAACACCATTAGGACATGCACTCTTGGTAGCTATGAGGAAACATAGTTATATAAGTTAGGGACAAAATGTCAGCTTGAGCTTTCACTTAGAATTTCCTGGCTTCAGTCAGTTTATGTCTCTTGGGTGAGCTTGTATTTAATAGAGTACATGCAGTATTTAAGATCACCTACAAGATTCAAGAAATTTTAAAGAGTAATGTTTAACCAATTATGTACTGTAACTTAATATGGCTATGTAATGTGTGTGGATTGAAAAGGAGAATTCTGTACACAACCTGTCCACATTCATTTTAAAAAGGCTATGTAGCCAACGGCCAACAATAACTGGCATAGGAATTCAGTGATAATGCACATTACCTCAGATTAATAAGGCCTTACTAGAGCTTATTTGCTTTTATATTTTTCTGTTCATTTTCATTTTAAGCCCATAGCCTTTTGACATCATTTACAGCTGAAAGCCACAGTGTAGGAATCAATTTCAATGTAATTTAAGGCCCCTGGCTGTTAGTCAGGGCCTCCACATGGCATTATAAGAGGTTATCACAGTCATCTGTACAAACTGCAAATGTATTAGAAGTTTTCCAGCTATTTATTACTTCTGTCCAAATTGTGCATGCAGATCTGTTAGCCATTGTTCTTTTTCTGACATCTTTACTTTCATTCAGTTGAAAACAATCACGTGGGCAGTAGACTTGGTAAATACCAACAGTCAGAGAAACCCCCAAAAAGCACAGAAAATGAAGAGCCTGTTAAACAGTAGTTGTAACAGGAGACAATCATAGTTCCATTTTTTTGCAGTGCTTTTCTCTAGACAGACTACAAACATTTTTAAAGAAAGGTAAGTTTTGAATTAGCCTTTTCAAAGGATAAATGACAAGGGACTCAAGCAATTTGTACTGGCCACCTTGTATCATATGCACAGTAAGCCTTTTGGGATTAGGTTCAGTGCCCCACTAAATGTGTTGTGAGGACTTGGTTCTTGTTTTCTTATTTTAGCCTTTGAATGCTTTCTATGACAAACTCTTTCAATTCACAACCCTGACTCCTTCCTCTAACAGGATTCACAAAAAAAGAGTAAACAGGTGGTTCTTCAAAGCAGAATTGAATGATATAGTTATGACAAGGTATAAGAATGTGATCCAGGACATTAAATAATAATTAAAATGGCATTAGTTCTATTCAGACAACTGATTGACTGGAATAAAACATATCGCCACATCCATGTTCTTTCCATAAATGGTTTCATATTTTTTGCACCAACATGATTATTTTAAAAATTTTTACCTAGTATGTTTATATCTATTAAGGTTCTACACTTGAATTTAAATATTCAGTTCTGACATCTAACAAAATACTGCTACTAGTCCACAGACAGACTTTTCTCTCTCTGAAAAGAGTCAAAATTTGGCCGCAAGTATTTTCCTGTTAACATGTAGATATTTTTTGTAAATTTTGAAAATGTAACACCCATTTATGAGAAAGCTTATAAAATGTTATTTTACAGTAGTGATGAACAAGTTTCAGATTCACTTATCCTTTAAGTAAACAGCACAATATTTGCTTTGTGTTGGAACCTTCTTGTCTCATAAGGACATTATAATATCATGGGGTTTGTGTTATAAAAGTGTGCTCCTAAACTAAATGAGGCAATGAATGTGGCAAATAAATATCTATACAAGTGGTTTATTATTTAGGGACACATTCTCATCCTTAATGTCACCACGAATATATACACACTGTATATGTTACTTATGTTTGCTTACAGACCGCAGGGTTTTTAGAAATATGCCTATTCTGAATGCTTGCCACATTATTATTTGCCAAGAAAGTCACATGCACAGCTGAGAAAATACTGAAATGGGCATTTTCCCAAATTAAAAATTTATCTTGAAAGGTGCCCTTAGAAAAATTTTATGCAATCACCACAGAAATACATTTAAGAG